GGTAACCCCGAGCTACACTCAGGCTTACCATGCGGCGCTGCTCCGGGATCCCTCGATCACTTACCTTGTCCTGCACTCCCGCGATGTCCCTCCTGCAGTGTCCCCGGTAATGCAATCCAGCGGATGCCAGCATCTGTCATCTGGGTTCCATCCCCTGCGAGCGTCGGAACGTATGGGGGACGGAACGGCAGGAAATTTGAAAATGAAAAAAAGTGACATTCACTAAAATCACATAGTAAAACATTGCTGTATCAAACCATTTCACATACATTTTGTCCCTAGTGCTTTGTCCTGTGCCCTGCCTGCATTTTTACTGTTCTTTCTGCCTGGAAACTGAGAAATGTCCATGGTGTCCAAAAAGTGTCCCTTTAGGTCAAAAGCGGTTTTAGACAGCTAGAGAACAGCGATAGTAAATTAGAACTACTTGCAGAATTGAGTGATGATTCGTGGGGAAATTCGTCATCAGACACTGAAAACGATTTGCGACTTTGCTCAGTGATGAGCGAACTTGGCGCTATATTTCAAATTTCAGTGTTTTTGGTTTGATTACATTATTGAATTAAATGTATTATATTATTTTTTATGATTATTTATTAAATTATAATTTATGATTTTGTGTTTCAAGTTTTATACTACCCGGGATGTTTACTAGACTTTTGTTCGGACAGATTTCAGTGAGTTATTCCTAAAAATTACAGGCCTACAATAAAAAAAAAAAAACATCTTTCCATGCAAAAAAATTTACAGCTTTGAGCACAGAAATATGGACATAATCATACCGCTAGGGAGGTTAAGATAAAACTACTAAAAGAGGGTGTTCCACATTATTAAGCAGAGCACCATTTTCAAGCAATATGGGGAAGAAAAAGAATCTCTCTGCTGCCGAAGAGTGAAATAGTTCAATGCCTTGGACGAGGTATGAAAAACATTAGATATTTCACGAAAACTTAAGCGTGAGCATCGCACTATTAAGAGATTTGTGGCTGATTCAGAGCACAGACGGGTTTGTGCAGATAAAGGCATATTGAGGAAGATTTCTGCCAGATCCATGCATCGGATCAAGGGAGCAGCTGCTAAAATACCATTACAAAGCAGCAAACAGATATTTGAAGCTGCTGGTGCCTCTGGAGTCCTTTAGAGTCTTGCAACTGTGCATAAATCTTCTATTCGGACAAAACACCAACCAATGCTCACAAGCAGAAACGGCTGCATTGGGCAGAAAAATACATGAAGACTAATTTTCAAACAGTTCTGTTCACTGATGGGTGCCGTGCAACCCTGGATGGTCCAGATGGATGGAGTAGTGGATGGTTGGTGGACGTCCACCCTGTTCCAACAAGGCTGGGACGTCAGCAAGGCGGTGGTGGAGTTATGTTTTGGGCCGGAATCATGGGAACAGAGCTGGGCGGCCCCTTTAGTGTCCCCGAAGGTGTAAAGATGACCTCTGAAAAGTATGTGGAGTTTATGACTGACCACTTCCCTGGTACAGAAGGAAGAACTATGCTTTCCGTAATAAAATCATCTTCATGCATGACAATGCACCATCTCATGCTGCAAAGAATACCTCTACATCAATGGCTGCTATGGGGATAAAAGGAGAGAAAGTCATGGTGTGGCCTCCATCCTCCCCTGACCTCAATCCTATTGAGAACCTTTGGAGCATCCTCAAGCAAAAGATCTATGAGGGTGGGAGGCAGTTTACATCCAAACAGCAGCTCTGGGAGGCTATTCTGACATCTTGCAAACAAATTCAAGCAGAAACTGTCCAAAAACTCACAAGTTCAATGGATGCAAGACTTGTGAAGCTGCTATCAAATAAGGGGTCTTATGTTAAAATGTAACGTGACCTGTTAAAATGTTTAAAAAGTTAAAATGTTGTTAAAAGTTTGATTGCAGCATATTTACGTAAATCAAAAGCTATTTCAAACACAACAAATGACAATTTTCAGTTCTTTACAACCTATAAAGTGTTTTGAAACTTACTGTGCGTAATAATTTGGAACAGTGCATTGTAAGCTTTTTATGTTTTAAAAGAATACTGTTATTATTAGGAGTTTTGTTCAATAAAATTTGAATTGTACTCTTAATAGTTGATAACATGAGAATTATGCTGACTGTTATTTACATCAATTATTTAGGTAAATGAGAAAAATATCATTTGCATAATAATTTGGAACAGGGTGTAGTTGGAGGTTCTACTCCTGTGACCTTATTATGCACTACTCTGGCATATGATTGTATAATGCAAAATGTTAAATAAAGGAATTACAAATAAAAAAATAAATAAATAGTTGGAGGTGACTTCTCATCAGGAAAATCCCAATTCTATTTCCCTGTCAAACATTTTTGAAAATATGGCTACACAATCAAAATACTTATCAAATTGTAACAAACAACATACAGACTTATTAAAAGCCCACTGACCAATCTTATACTCGTCTTAGGGAATTTTGCGCTTTTAATCATTCTTCCTTTTCTTCCTTTTAATCAGATTTAAATATACAGTACATTCATATGAATTACCAACAAATGTGATAAGAGTCCTGCCCTTTCACAAAGCCATGCAAAGAAGCACATACTGTATCTCCCTTCTATCCCCCCCCCCCCCCTTCAAAAAAAGCAAAACAAAAAAAAAAACCCACAACAAGAACCCTTCCCAGTGTTGCAAATACAGATCTATTTCTCAGTATAACATCAATCTAAAAATCTAGGCCAAACTCATTATGGATTACAGTACCTCACAACCCTTATTCCCACCTTTGTCACATATAAACCTTCTCTTTGTTCAAGCAGAGAAGGCATTTGTTCAAAGAAATTTCTCAATGACAATCTTCTAGATAAAATATATATGACTTTCCTAGTGTAATTTTAAAGTAAACACTGACAAAACAAAAACTGAACGTGTCACTCTCAGACTCTGAGCTGTCCCACTTAAAACAATCTTTCCCTTTGTACTAGAAATCCACAGCACTCAACTACTTGCGCATACACCTCCCAATTTGCTTAGAATAACTCCTTGATGTTAACTATAAACGTCTGCTCAGACAAATCTCATATCCATACTTAGTTTGGTAGGATGTTGCCCCTCTTACTAGAGCTTTACTACAAAGTCAAACATTCTGCTGACAAGATGAATGAAGAACTTATGACTATTTAAGAGATACCCCCAAATCTCCACTACCTGAGCTCCTTGGATTAATTTCCACGATAGTTCTCACTTTCAAACTCCACTCATGCTGAGAAACCTATCACTCTCACAAGAGCCTTATTCCATGATACCACTCATCCAACATATCTCTCTCTTTCCAAATTCACCCTATTGATACATTCATTCCTCCTTTTACATCACTGATCTTTCAAGTCCATCCTCCTCCGTTCTCCATACCAGCAGGACTTTCTCCTTTTGGGGTTTGATAGCTCCTATATGGAAAAGTCTATAGGTTGTTCAAACTACATCCCTTACAAAGGGAGCTAAATAAACACAATACCGGACCACAAAGCTTTACAATAAATTATAGTGATATTGTACTGCAGATTTTGGTTACTGGAATGACATCTGTGTTGTTATCTGCCATTATCCTGGAGCCATACATATGGTTTCTCTTTTGTGTCTTTTTTTACTTTGTATTATATTTACTGACCATTTTGTAACTCAAAGATTACAATATTCAAAAAACTTAAAGCCCGAGTTTGTCTTCTAGATGACATTCAACTTTTTATTATGCATTTCTAAAAAAATGTATTTCCACCTTTACTGACAAATTGGGATAACACCTACTTTATATTTGTTATGCGCTCTCATTCATACAGCATGACTTTACACACAAAAAAATATAACATTTTAACATGCTGTTTTTACACGGTTTTCTGAAAAAAAAAATTCTACTTGGCTCTTCCTCCCTGTAATGTTTATGAGGGAGCTTTGGAGGTAGGAATACCATAATTAACCCTGCCCTACTGTCCTGACAGATTCTTCATTATCAATTGTAAACTAGATATGCACAATGTCTGACCTACTGTGGTAAAAATATCAAGGCTTGGGTTCTGTATTCTACGTTAATGCACTTTTAGTCCAATTTGTCCCCGATTTGTCCCTAAATAAGTACATTATGAGTCATTTCGAACAATACAAGCTGCCTAAAGAGTTTAGTTTATAATCCTGCTAAAAAGAAACTAGAAAGCTAGGAAATATTTTTACTACTGTAATTTTAAGTATGCTGAGTGAATAGGAACGCAATTTTATGGTGGAAGGTTCTCAAATTTGGCAGAAAAGGTGAAAATATACAGAAAAAAAATAAAATTAAATAATTTCTGTATTTGCATTTCATATCCAGGTCTATATAATAGTAGTAAAGCCTATGCTACAATTTTCTCTTTTTATGCCCATGGTTGGGGGGGGGGGGGTCGACTTTGTCCTGTGACTTACTTATCCTGCTGACATGATGAGCTTCCCTGAGATACTGTGAGGCGGCTAAAAACATTCATTTCATTACGGGACCGGCTTGTAGGGGAAGAAGGAGGAGACAGACTAGCCTCTGATGTTCCAGAATCTGAGCTATAAGAAAAAACAACACGGAATGCACACTTTGTTAGGTGATTAAAGATGGAGGTCAGTAAGTTAACACGACTCATGATACACACGCCTGCTCTCCATAGTTTATTAAGGTGATGGTTTATAAGAAAAGTTTAGTGAATGAAAGGCAGTTCCTAGTAGAAAAAAAAAATGTAGAGGTAAAAACAAAACAGACAAAAACAATTTGAATTGCAAAGCTCAAACAATCAGTTTTGGCACTTACAAGCATTTACAGAGTACCGTAGTTGGCTCAATTAATAATATCTTTAAAATGCCAAGTGCCACTTATCAGCTTCTGTCTTGTCTGTAAAGATACATCAGCACAGCATGTAACAGGAGCATAGAATTGCGCAGCGAAAGCTAAAGGTAGAAAGCATGAAAATATATAGAACTAAGGTGTTTTAAGCAACCAACAAAAAATACGTACAATTTTTGTTCTTTGGTTTTACTAGCCTTCTCCCCACCCTTTTCATAGGTTTTTCTTCGGAATGATGGTGATGGTTCTGGTACACGGGGTGTTTTGCTTTGTCCTGAAGAAAATAATAGTGATCAACTCCACTTCTCCCTAAAAAAACTATTTGTGCCTTAGTAATTATATATATTTTAATTGTTGTCCTACTACAAAAAAATTAAAGAAAAACATTTTTACAACACGTGACTTTGTACAGGGAAGGTATTTAACAGAAGAGCAGAACTCCCCTTTTTCTAGCGTAGTGTAATGCCTATGAAATGTGTTGGCCTTGGACCCTTTGTTTCTTGGGTAAATTTTACAATAAAGCACTGTTGCCCAAATGCCAGGAGCATGAGAGGTGACTGATGTAATTTCTCTAAGCCAAAGGAACAGAGTCACAAGATATTCTGCTTAGAGTAAGATAAAAACTTGTTTATGGAATTGAACGTGTTTATGACATCCAGTAATATCACATTAGAAGACAAGAACCTGTTTAAAGACATCTACTTGCTTGAGAAGTTAGAAATCTTTAAGTTTAGGGTAGATGAGAAGAAGTTTGGGGTAGAGGAGAAGACGTTTAGGGTAGATAAGAAGCTGAACTGAAGCAAAAGTGTGACTTTTCAGATAACTATGTGGAATCAATATGGTGGCTGAGCGGGACTCTGTTATCCTCGCGGAACATTTCTGCTAGCTCCTCCTATGGTGGGTGTGGCGCCCACTCACTATTGGAAAGCTTCCAGAAAAATAGTTTAAAAGCCGGGAGTCCAAGCGGGATCGATCAGAGAAGCCCCCTAGTTGCCAGGAGATGCTCCGACGCTGGGACTCTTGCCAAGGCTATATAGGTTCATCAATTGGTCACGCTTACGGCTTCTATGTGACCCCCTGGGAAGTATGGTTCCGATGGGATTTGTTCCTTCCCGCTTCCACATAGCTTTGGTAATGTATTAATTCTATGCTGTCAAATGATGTGTCTATTTCATGCTGTAATGCTCACATTATTATTGGTGTGTGTTATTATGCAGATTGTGATGACTATAAGATATATTATTTATTTCAGGTACTTATATAGGGCCATCAATTTTGCGCAGCGCTTTACACATATATATTGTACATTCACATCAGTCCCTAACCCTCAAGGGGCATACAATCTAAGGTCCCTAACTCACATCCATACATACACATACTAAGGCCAATTTAGACAGCATCCAATTAACCTACCAGCATGTCTTCCTCCTGTGTGTGTCGTGTGATAATAAAAGTGGAGGCTTTGACAGTGCAAGAATATTGCAGTTGGATTCTGTTGTTTCTTGGAGTGCTGAGTGAATGCTATGATGTGCCAGGGAAGGTATTCATTTGGTAGAGGGTCTTTCACATGCGTAGAATATGTAATGGTGTAAATGCTGATTAAAAAGTACCTGTATGACTACATGTTGATTCTGTGCTTGTATAAGACTTGCTTTTAGTTATTGCACCCAGCATTTGCCGTTACACGTGGTAACACAAGAAAAACTGGGTAGGGCTCCTGACCCTACCCAATGTGTAAGCCTGTGTAGATGCAACTAAACTACAAAGGAAAATGTACTGTGTGCAAAGTACAGTTACCCAGCCAATAAGGTTTCAATTTACAGAAGTGAAGGAGAACAGGATATCTGATTGGTGGCCACAAATAACTGCCCTTTGCACACAAGTTAATACACTTTCCACTACCTCATTAAGTAATTCTGAAAATATCAATGCACTTTGGGTCTCAACATGAAAAAAAGGAATATTAAATTTAAAAAAAAAAAATGGAGATTGCAAATATTCTTATGGATTAGACATTTCGAGAAGACGTGAAGGATGGAATGGAAAGGAAAGGGTTATCTGCAAACCAAGGAAAATACAAATAGGACTGTGATTAAAGCTGGCTATACATGGGTCCGTTTTTTTTTTTTTTCGTTGATCAAATGGGTTGATGTGGATGTGGGAATCCTCCCTGTTGTGTCTTATTCTGTCAATGGGGAGTCTCCCCAGCCAATAAGAATACACAACAGAATACCCAGATCAGCACTGCAGCTTATAGCCTGTAGGGATGATCGAGCAAAAAAGTACTGACAGGGTGGTTGAACAGAAGTTGCGATCGCGCGATTTCAGTTCAACCACCCTTTTGGTATTTTCTCATCTATTGACTGACTTCTGTTCAACCACAGTAGCTACACATGGATCGCAATTAGGCCGGTTCCTGCTGAACCAAGCCAAATTTGGATCCATATATGGACAACGTGAGAGGGAAGTATTTGACTAAACTTTACTGCATATATAATTTAAAACACATGCAAACAAATGGGTCTATGAAACCTCTTGCTAATATATAACTGAAATTTCAATTTACAAAGGAAATCACCACACTTCGCAACAAAAGGGTCAATATTTTATCAGCTACTGTAGCACAATTCTGAAATTATAGAAATAGCATATACAAAAGCTTGTCATACTTTCAGCAATGGTCAAAGGAATAAGGGAACTCAAAAGCAGTGTTTACAATGAAACAAAAGCTGCCTTCCTTCAAGAAGACTAGTAGAATAGTAGTATCATATTTTTGCATTATTTCCCATTAAATATATAGCAAAACCACTGATGTGAAAAAGTAATTTTACACAGAGTTTGAAACAGTAAAAATTAAAAAATTACCTTAACATAAAATTGCAGAATGGTGTCCCAATAATCTCCAACAACATAATAAGGTGCTGATGCAAGCTGGGTACTAAGACTTTTCATTTGCCAAGAACAAAAAAGCTGCCTGTTAACGTGCAATTTTTCTTAAAGGCTTAGATGTCATACACTAGTTATGCTTTGCGTGATTATTGCTTACTTTAGCTTTTGAGTACTGCACAAGCAACAAACATTCAGCTAGTGAAATAAGCGTTACATGTGAGATGCCATGTTATGAAAAATCATTCCTTCAAGGCAAGATACAGATGCAAGTACCATGGCTTTCAGCTTCAGGGTGTCATTTAGAATGGCATAAACAATCAGAAATGCAGCACAGCAAAAAGCACTTCAAACATTATTAAATAGGCTGCTTGGCGTGGCATGCATGAGACCATATGCTTTCATAATGGATTCTGGGGAAATCAGCAGGTTTTTTTTATGATCTGTAGGGTCAGTTACTAATTTCATGTCAATAAATATTCTCACACTAGAACATGCAGCCCAGCTTTGGAATATAAATATTCCATATAAGGGATAATAACTCAATAAAAAAGCAGCTACTTGCTTTATTGTGCTAGAGTGCAGGCTCTTGCAGAGCAACAGAATCCTAGCAACAGCAGTTTTCACAAAAAAGATAAACTAATAGAAGGGGCAAATTATCTGCCATAAAGTCACCGAAGGAGGAGATTTGTAAACCGTATTAGAGATGTTACATTTTAATATGCCTAAGAATAATGTTTAACTGAAATACTCCAGCTAAACCATAGAGATGTAAAACAAATGGTTATTTAGATATCATATTTGAAAGATAAAGTTTAAAAAGATATGGGGGTATGTACTGAAAAGCCTCATGCATTTTATTAAATGCACATATACAAGTAGTTCTTGTAAATCCATGCATATGGTTATAAAATGTATAGGAAGTCAAGGAAAAGCAGTGTTGGTTAATACTGCACAGACAGACTTACATGCTGCCCATTTTAGAAGGCAAGCCAGAAGGTGGGGGTTGGGGATCTTTATCCCTAACAGAACTGCTACTTGGTTCAACGATTGCTGGAGCTCCTTCTACTTCAGGAACAGGAGGAAGAGAAATGAGGAAACCATTGTCCCCTGTTACTGGATCTGAAGCCGTCTCGCTGCTATCTGCATAAAGTAACTCTAGTTGAGTAGTAGTCCTCCTTCGTGCCTATTTGAATTAGAAGAAACAATTGAATGAAAACTAAGGGAACCATGGAACTACTTATCAGTCTAAGTTAAAATCCAAAGTCTTCTGAATACCCAAAAGGCTTGCAGCAGTAATCTCCTGCTGCAATGGGTAATACAGCCGCTGGACCTGTATTACCCATTGCAGCCCTTTCTGCCCTCTCCTCCACTCATAGATACTGCTCTATAGCTTTCATCAATGCAAAGCAGTTTATGAATGAAAGACAGCCTGATGAATGAAAGGTCTCCTCCATTCATGGAGTGCTATTCATGTAAGCTATAGTGCAGCTTCTATGAACAGTGGAGGGTTCAGAAAAGGCAGGCATAGCCAGCACTCTTTACAAGAGCTTACGGAAAGCCCAACGGCTGTATTGCAGAGGTATGGAGTAAGGTATTTTCGATTTCAACAAAGACACCAGCAACCAGCACAAGGCATTGAATGTAAGTACTGTCCCTTTAAAAGGATAAGCTCACCTTTTTGGCCAAAAATAAATGCACATTTTTTTGCAGGTAAAAAAATGTGCATTTATTACTTTTTGTCCAAAAGAGCCTGGAAAGCATTGCACAAGTGATCAGTACATCACTGATGCCATGCAGGTCTCCTGCAGACCTGCCAGAATATCTGCTTGCTGTACGGGATGTATGAGCAAGCAGATATACTGACAGGAAGCTTCAATGAACTACCAAGTCGCTGCACAGCGCCTTGGTAGTTAACTGAAAACTACAAGCCCACTGCCACTAAGTCTACTGTTGGGACTTGTAGGCACTCATTCACAGAACACTGGGAATAAGGGACGCGGACATGTGGGTGGAGCACTGCACAGCCGCGCTGTTTTCAAATCTGACAGATAGTACGGGGAAACTTCACCTGTCAGATGGAGGGGGTGTGGCTGTTGCAACATGTTACATGTTTCACCCTAAAAACGGGTGGATCATGTAACATGTTCCAAAGGTGAACTTAGCCTTTAAGGCAGCAAACCTCCCAAATCAAGTGATGTAGTAGGCTCCATAAAATTGTAAAGTCAGTTCTGCTGACTTAGACGTTGATGTCAATTGAGGCAATGGTGGTGATATACCAAAGGAGTTAAAACGGTTCACTTTGAAATAATATATTTTCACACTGCAAAGTAAATGTTAATTTAATACAATAGATATGACAGCGCTACAGTCAAATCGACCCTCTGATGAAGCCACGCAGGCGTAACACGTAAGGGTGCATAGTGGAGTGAGTGACATTCAAATACCAGCTTACCGCTCTACCCCCAGCGGGACCATACGTATCCCAGTGACAGGATACCACTAGAAGATGAGAGAGGAGAGAGCACAGGGAACTCACTCACGGAGCTTTCACCAGCTGTGGCAATCATAAGGATTATCATCTTGATACATTTTATATATGGGTACACATTATGTAAGCTTCTCTCTCCATATAGCCGGTGAATCGCTTTTCATTGAAAATTTGGAGGACCCATACCCGGAGGATATCCCCATAACCCAGGGACAATAGGGTTAACAGCGCAATTAGACCAATATTCAGTAGGTCTAACCACCCACCAAGTGAGAGGCTGAAGATGAAGGTTCCTCACTAGTGGCGATTCCAGTTTTCTGTTTTCTCTTAACACTTGGATGGAAGGAAACTTCTTCATACCCTACTGATTGAGACTTTCACTTGAATGTTTCACATGTCATTCTGATGAATGGTTACATTATTACTATGATACATTTATATTATTGACTCAGTTGGAATTTTGACATGTACAGAGGATTAGTTATAGAGTTTATGTGGACTTTTAGTATTCATTATCTGTAGCGCTGTCCTATCTATTATATTGCTTTTTAGATATGTGGTGTGATCATATGGGGACTTAGCGGCAGCAGATTATCCTATTCATTCATTAATTTGTTTTACACCAGAATTGCGCACAGGTTGATTTTACTATAAATGTTCATTTAGCTTAGTAAATAAGGTGAAGCTGTACTTATTTAATTGACGATTAAGCTGTGTTTAATCATTCAATCATGTGTGCAAGGAAAACATTTTTAATGTTTTATACTAAAGCAGGGGTGTCCAACTCACAGCCTGTGGGCGGCCCTAGAGAGTTTAGTATGCGGTACAGGGTCTTTTGGAGCAACACCGTGCAAGCACAGAAGTCATGACAGCCTCCATTGGCAAGCCAGGAAAATGCTCATTTGGAGGGATGCTTTGACTGCCATATTTAACCGGCAGCAGAGAATGAGGGGAGTCAGGTAAGGATGGCCAGATCTGGGGGGGGGGGGGGGGGCGGGTGGCATAATCAAATTACAGTTGTGCCCCCCCCACCCAAGCCCCCTACCTCCCCACATAGCACATATAGTACATAGGTTACATTCACATTGGTGACCAGGGCTGGTGCAAATTGCAGTGACAGTTCCTCCTACGGCTCTCAGTGGGTAGATGCGGCTGCTCGCCCTGTTCACTATAATGACAGTTCACTGGCAGCCTCATCTATTCGCGGCTCTATACACAGCCAGCCACCTGCTGGGATCACTGCTGGACATGCTTTGTCTGTGCCCCGCAGAAATCACCACACGTAATCACTGGCTGCGCAGAGAGCTGCAAATACAGGTGAAACTCGAAAAATTAGAATATCGTGCAAAAGTTCATTTATTTCAGTAATGCAACTTAAAAGGTGAAACTAATATATGAGTTAGACTCATTACATGCAAAACAAGATAGTTCAAGATTTTGCATTACTGAAATAAATGAACTTTTGCACAATATTCTAATTTTTCGAGTTTCACCTGTAGGTGCCTGTCATTATAATGATAGGGCCCGGCAGCTGCACCTACCTGCCTAGAGCCGCAGAAGGAACTGCTCATCAGCTCTCCTTACAGTTAGTCTAGTCTATGTGCAGCCCAAGATAATTTCTCTTCTTCCATTGTGGCCCAGGAAGGTCAAAAGGTTGGACACCCCTGTACTAAAGCATTTGTGCAGGATTTTTAAAAATGTAGCTGCAAAATTGAATATTTTGATTATTATGCTAGCTTACCTTGTTCTTAGGTTTTCCTTCACCACACAGCTTCATTAGGTCTGAAGACAATGAGCTAAGCAAACAGAACAATCAATGTATTGCAAAACATATATCTGGGACATGATTTTTATGCTTGAAAGTTGTAATTAGAATATAAAAAATATTTAAAATGTAAATACTGTAAACTGTAAAGACGTGCATTTGCAAACAATAAGTAGCCACAGTTTCTCCTAAAAGTTTTTTTTTTTTTTTAATTATAAAATAAATAAGAATTCTCTATATGCCTTTTCTCTGCACTTCAAATGGACACCATTTAGGAATGTTGTATAAACTAGCACTAACACTGCATAAAAAGGAAAGTGTCAGTACTACAGACTTTTAAGCAGCCAGATGTCAAGCAGAGAGACTACCCTTTGCAGTTGTTCATCTGATCCTAGCAACCAAAACCATTATTACAGAGACTATAGGGTTGACTTACTAAAAGGCAAATAGACTGTGCACTTTGCAAGGGCATTTACTCCAGAACTTAGCAAATGAGTGGGAGCTCTGCTGACTTCCATTATTTAATTATTTTCCCTGCATGCGACTGGATATTCTTTACCCAAAAGCAACGCTTTAGCTCATTTACTAAGCACTTTAGCAAATGCCCTTTCAGAGTGCAACTGCATCTGCAAAGTGCACAGTACATTTGCCTTTAATAAATCATCCCTTATATTTGCACCCTTGAAAAATTTCTTTTTTGAAAAACAATCAATCACTCAAACTTACTCACCATATTACAAAACATGAGAACAAATAATGCATTTAGAAACCGGACAGGAAGAAGGAAAACCTACAATGATCAAGAAATTTAAACAGTAAACTCATACATAAATGTGCACTTGTCCTCTGCTGCTTCTCCACCCCCCCCCCCCCCTTCCCTAAGCCTACAGACTGACTGAGAATGTGCTGTCCACTGTTAACTCTCTCTTGTGAAAGTTACCCGGACGTTCAGCAAAGCAACACAGAGATCAGGACTCAGCAACTGGGGTGATGAATAGTTTATTTGGGATTGCTTACTTTATTGTGCTCAATGTGTTAAGCTAAAAAAAACACTGAGGGTTTATTATTAATTTGAAGGCTAATTAAAAAAAAAAAAAAAATGTATAGGTTTAGGAGATCCACCCACCTTCCTTCTCCTCTGTGTGATTAATATCAGCTCTTGGCTGTTTGCATGCTCCTGAGACTTCACACAGTAGCAGTTGCTGTTATGATGAACAGCTGTTCTGATATGGAAACCTTACAGATCAGAACTGGAACATAGCAGCCAGCTATACACTACGCAGATAGATGCTGTAAGGGAATCTGATCTCTACTGTGTAAGGAGCTGTGCTGTGTGAAGGAGTCCAGCAGCCGCAGAGGTTTGGGGGGGGTTTATGGTTAGGTGCAGTGCTCGCCAATACCATCACCCCTAGATCCAGCCATGTCCACTTTTATGCAGAGGAATTCTACTGTGCCTGAACTTGTTTGCTGCTTAGGTGTGTGCCTGTTCAGTATCTCCCAATGGAGGAGGGACAGAAGCAGTTTGCTGAAGTTGTAACCATCCCCTCTGAACTTTCGAGCAGCAAAATGACTATTATTATTAGAACCTACATGCCAAATGCCCCTACTGTAAATACAAAGGGAGGGGAGAAGTTGATTCAAGATGGTAATATTTGTTATTTAGCCTATCCCACACATCTCCTTTCACTTGACTGCAGTTTACCTTAAACATATTTAAGTTACATGTATCATGTCTCATAACATACCTGCCTTCTGTTCCAGGGCTTTGTAATGATCCTTCCTCATCACTGCTAAATTCTGGATTTTCTGAAATAAACAATTGCATTCATGGAACAAAATAAAAGTAAAAGGATGCACATAATGGGATACACATACAAAATTCAATGATGATATCCTTTATATCTAGATTAATAGGCTGTGATAGAACAATTTTTATCTTTACATACTGCTGTGCAGCAGATAAACTTCCTACAACATAACAGTAAGGAAAAACTAATACAACACTAATGAGAAAAATAATGGCCAAACACAGAGGAATATGTCATATCACAAATTCTGTAAAACTGGATGTTTCAAATAAAATTGAATTATCTTTCAGTAATTGTAAACAAAGACAACTTAGTACCAATCATCTAATGCTGTCAAAGTGATAAAGATGATCTTTTCACCAAAGTCTTTAGAGTGTTGGAAATGTTCACATTTATTTTCTGATCTCTGGAGTGGACAATTTTGCAATTTAAATTTTGGTGAAAGATTTACAGAGGAAATATACACTTTCAAACATGGCCTTAGTAAATGTGGCAATGGTAACTTTAAAATCCTGGTTATGATAGCACAACAGCTACCTGTTAGTTTCTCAAACTAACCTCATCTTTTGAGCTAGCAAAATTGATACACACTCCTACTCTGATGGCAACACACCAGACTTTGTTTTCTACCTCCTCTGCACTCCCTGCCAACTTCTCCAACACCGCCTTTCTTCTCTCTCTGATCACAACCTTGTCAGTTTAACACCCACGGCATCTTCAGCATCCTAACCCTTCGAGCAGCAGTTACCTCTAGACACCTTCTCCAAATCAACCCTTCTCTTCTCTGCTACTGACAGCCACTAAGACACTTCTGTCTGCAACAGCTCAATCCTATCCTCAAAGGACACACTTGCTTCCCCTACTACACACAGAATTCGGGCCGGACCACTTTAAACCTAGCAAGAAGATGACACCAAAAGTCTCAAATAATATAGTTATGTTCTTGCGCGAGTGTGGTGTAAACGTAGGTCCCTGCAAAGTCTTTCCCTATATATAGCGGCCCTCCCAAAGCATAATTCTTCCCTTTATGTTGTCAAACAGACCTGTTTTATGACTCCTGTTAACATTCTCTCATTCAGTCCTCGTCAACTTTTTTCTACTTAATCTCCCACAGCTGCGCCCATCAACTCATTCACTGCCCAGGCCAATGCCAGTCATTTCAAAAACAAGATAGATACAATTGGTGATACAATTGCCACTGTTTAGTTATCGCACTCAATTAACATACTAACTATACTACCACACACATTATACCTCTTTTGACCCCGTTACTACAGGGGAGGTTGCTAAATGTGACACCCAACTCACTACCTGCCCCCAGACCCAATTCCTTCAAAACTACTCAATAGGACCCCATCAGTCTAAACAACCTAAGGCTCATCTCCCTTGTCCCATTTACCTCCAATCTCCTAGAAAACCCAAATACATCTCTCTAACCCTGAGAACCCCCCACCCAGTCTCCTTGTGCATCACTAATCTACAAACTGACATATGGATGCCAAACCACTTCCTAAAACTAAAACATTCCAAAACTAAGCACATATGTTCTACTCCAACCGTGTCCCCTCCAATGACATTTCCATTGAGAAAGGAAGAGTGGGAGAGGCAGAGTGCTATGTGTAATCCTGGCACTTCCTAACCAACTATACCACTAAGCTACTAATTCACGCACTTATCTCTCACTTTGACTACTGCAACTCACTCCTCACTGGTCTACCTCTACACAGACTATCCCCTTTCAGTCTATAATGAATGCTGCTGCCAGACTCATCCACCTTACCAACTGTCCAGTGTCTGTCAACCCTCTCTGCCGATCCCTCCACTGGCTTCTGATGGCCCAAATAAACTTCAAAATATTAACAGCAGTTTACAAACACATCCACAACTGTCAACAAAAATATCTGCCAAACTGTTCACTTCGTTCTTACCAAACCTCCTGCTCTCTAGCTCCCTCGCCTACTTCCATGATAAAGGTTCAGGACTTCTACAAAGCCCCTCCCATCCTTTGGACCGCCCTACCCTAACCTGAATGACTATATCAAACTGTCTGTCTGTCTTTAGGTGATCCCTGAAAATTAATTTCTTCGAGCAATCCTATCCTAGCCCCTAGCTAGCAACTGACTTACTTTCTCGATCAACTCATCACCACTTAGCTACTACCTTCTGTATCGCTCTCCTATCTCTATAGCTTGTACGAGTTCACGAGCAGTGCACGCCTAACCATCTTGTCTTGAATTCTACTGTAACTGTACTCTGTCACTTTATTTTGTAAAGCGCTGCACAAACTGTCCCTGCTATATACAAATCCTGTATAATAAAATAAAAAAAAAAGAGAACTTGTACATAACATTTCAGAAAAAATCCTGCATAGATCTAGGATCTTAAGGACCAACTTCAGTTAAGTTTAAGCATCTAAATAAAAATATTTGTGCCATAAAAGTGAAAACTAACCACAGATTAAAAATTATGCTTACCTTAAAAAGAAAATATGAGGGGCTTTGTCCCTCTCATCGAAAAATAAAACCGCTTTGTTGCAACTACTACATAATGAGAGCAATGCTCAGAGTAAACATCGATATGAAATGTGAGTATTACAGCTGTTAAGATGTTTGATGCAGCTTCTAATTAAGCTGGAGGGATTAATAAAGGAATGGGTGACCTGACAACTTTTAATGTTACAGTGTTGAACACTCTAGGCCTGGAAAGTTAATGGTGTGTCAAGTCTTACAGATGTACAGAGACAATATTATCAGCATTCAGCTGTTAATATCTTGTTTAATGTATGAGCAGGGATGAGTTCAGGGATGTGCTGATGTTCTTAAAAGGAGGACATGCAAAGTAAGCATATTCTCAGAAGGTCTGCGTGGTCTTCTGGTTAGTGCTTATGGACAATTAGTCAGTCATGCATTTGCACAACAAAGAAAAGTGCTTAAGACATACTTACCCATCTGAATGCTATCTAGGTCTGTGTAAGTTAAAGCAAGGAAACAAAAACCAACACCAAAAATCAAAACAGAGCCAACTGCCAAGGGAAACAATCTCCATTGCTATCAAGAAATTTTACTGGAAATCACATGAAAGGAGTAAAGTAGCTTGAGCAATAGGACTACATGTAATACTAAACAAAATTACATCTCAGACTTATTCACACATACATTAAATATATTTGTGGAAAAACATAAAAGACGTTTAAATAGGTCAGTAAAAATGTAAAGCACCACAAAGTTTACAAAATTCTTCCCTGCACTCTTCCTTTGTGTCTGCTCCAGAAATGCTGTAAGCATTTAGTAGAGTTCTGCTTTATATAATGGGTTACGCCACCACACATTTTATCTGTGTCATAGTATAAATAGCAAAGAATAGTGCTGGACTGTGGGTAGATAGCTACATGTATTAGACATACATCTATTTTAGAAGGGATGCGCTCCTTTCATGTGATCTCTAAAGAATAAGTGCACTTTTTTGACAAATATACATTATGCCATACAATTATGATTTTAATGCAGCTTTCGAATTCAGTCCAGTGTAAGAAAGCATGCGCACATGAGGAATAACAGAGGAGAAAATAAGGCATCCCAAAGCTCACTTTAGCTGAGAACATTCCACGCCGACGTCAAGCAGCCATGCACATCTAAAGAGACCCTGGGATACATTATTAATGTTACTCCTGACACATAGTCAGGACTCCTAAAGACAGCATAAAGGCTTTAGATAAACCAAAGCAATTTTTAACAGCTGGACCCTTTAGGCTCCATGCACACGGGGCATTTTAATAATGCTGGTAACATTAGCGATGTAAAGTCACATTTAAAAATGTGAGTTTTTCTGCGTTTTCAATTAGTGTTTAGTGGCGTTTTTTCGCACTTGCATATTTTAGGGGTTTTTTTTTTTTTTTACCAAAAATGTTTTTGTCAAAAAAGTCCAAAAAAGTTGGTTTGCCACGATTTACCGCATTTTTCTGCATTAGAGCGTTTTACAGCTAAAAAAACTCCTCTAGAAACCCACTAGTCCTGGGGTATTTTTCCAGCCAAAAACCACCCCTGCCAAAAAAAAAAAAACGTTGATTACTGTCTATACGTACAACACATGGGATAACATGCTGGGTGGTTTACTGGCTGTAGAAAAAAAAAAAAAAAATTCAAAAGCCAAAAACAGCAGCTGTAAAAACATCCAGTGTGCATGAGGACTTACAACTGCTTTCAAACAACAGAAAGAAAAAAGTGGCAAATAATTCATTTTCACACTTGCTTTTTTGAATAGCAAATCTGTTTTAAAAGTGCACTTATTCTTTAGGGTACAGAATAGATGCTGTAATGTAATAGCATAAACCAAAACATCATAATTAATCATTCACTGATAAAGTGAGAATAAGCTAAATGCAGAGACAAATTGTTCCTCACTTCTTGCATATAGCAAGAATTTAAACAATTTTTATTTCAACAAAAACTTACAAGAATTTCCTAGTAGCAAGGCCTTCGAGTCATTATCCAGTACCCACAAAATAATAAAAAAAGAAATAAAATCTAGGATGAAACTATGGAATGTTCATGAAGAACAAGCCAATAGATTTGCTTCATTAAATCTTCTCTAATGGAGATGCTACACCTCACACGTTTGTTCTGTCTACAAATGTTGATCTGTACTTATTAAAGAAGCAATGCATGATTTCTCTGCAACAAATGAAATGCTGGAAGGTCAGTTGTGCCTGTGAAAAACTATTGTGCAATGAGGATATAGAAAAATAATAGTCACAAAGCTTACACATACACACATTCTATAGATTTATATATAAGATTCTACATCAGAGGGAACTGAACTCAAACGCACAAGTTACCAAAAAAAAAATGTACATGTTTATATACATTTATTTGGAAAAAAAAATATGAGTAAGGCAAACTATAGAAATGGATTCTTCCTAATAAAGTTATCTACAGCATTTATTCAGGAGATACGATCAAGACATATATATCCTTTAAACCAGGCATGCATAAATGCAAGCATGCAGAAAAGCAAATGC